TCATGAGGAGCCCACCAGCCCCGCCCCATTCAAGCACGGCAGGAAGGACGCAGCCGTCGTGACTCGTCCCCTCCGAGAACTTCCAGCCGTAGGAAGTGCCTCTGGCGAGGACAACCAACGAAACCCTCTTCCCATCGGCCTTCAACGCCTGCACAGGCAGCACAAAAGTGTTGTCCCCCAGCCGAATTCCTGCGCCGCCGCCACCGAGAAACTCTTTGAAGCCTTTGAAGTCAAAATCATAAGGGATAGGAGAGGTGCTTTGTTCGTGCCACTCAAACCCCTCATCGTCATCACCCGAAACCCGTCCGCTCGCCCCTCTGGGCTTCCAGTAGCCGGCCGCCGTCTCCGCAGTAAAAGGGGCCCCAGTCTCGCCGTAGCCGCCGAGGAGAAGGTGCACTTCGCTCTCATCCACAAATGCCGTTGGGCGCAGCAGGCGGTAGACCTTCGCGTCGTAATGATCCACCACTACGGCGCTCCCCTCCGCCCACGGCGTTGCGTCGGCCTTCTTCCACCTCGCGGCAACGCCGACGTACGGCTTGTTCTCCGTGGCATTTGTGTAATGCGCCTCGGCGAAGGCCACAACCACGCCATTCACGTAAACCAGAGAAGGCGCAGAGAACGACTCAAACTTCTGCTTATTGCTGGGAGACGCCGGATCAGTCATTTCCGTCACCCCTGCGTCAAAGAGAACAACCCTGCTCGACGTGCCCCCGTCATTCGCGTTGGCCTCAGCGCCATAGCTGCCGCAGCATATTAGCACGCAAAGAAGCAGCGGCAGCGCAGCAGAGGAAAACAGACGCCGGGGCATGTTGGGCCAATCTCTCTCTCTATTCCCTTCCCTCCTTGCGGTGGATCCGCGCAGGCCGCGACGGTTGTGTGGGTTGCTGTGACTTTGGAGCGTTCAAAGCGCACAGGGGCAACGAGCAGCGCTTGGTCTCTTCCCTTCTGCGTGTGTGTTGAAGGGAAATTAGCAAATAAAAAAGGAAGGCAACGCAGAGGGGTGTCGGCACACCGGCATAAGAGGGATTTAAGAACGCCACTACGCAATACGGCAGTGGCGGCAGCGGCGCTGGGGCCCACGGCAGCAGCGAGCATCGCCCAGGCCGCAAAAGAAGAAAAGAAGAGACAGAAAAGAGATGTGAGTCATCCCCGCCGGACCCCCAAAAAAAATGTATAAAAAGAAATTACTTCGGCAGGTGTTGTTCCTTTACCTCACGTGTCCAGCAGCACAAGAGGACTGCGAGGGATGCATGTATATTTTAACACCTGCACGAATTAAAAAAAGAGAAACAACTGCCCCGGTCGCACACACATAACCACACACGCATCACGTTTGCAGTTCACGGTGGCGGCAGGCTCGTGCCTCATTTGGGCGATCCGTGCGACGCACAGCCACGAGGCCGGCACCGCTTGTGTGTATGTGTGTGGGTGGTGGCAGCAGCAAAGAAGAAGGGGAAACACGCCACTCTCAGCAGAGAGTATAGCAAGCGAGTATTGGAAAACAAGAAAAAGAGAGCAGGGCTGCTGGCTATTCCAGCAAAGCACCAGCAGCAAACAAAAGTAAATATGTTTTTTAATAAAAGATAAAAACGGGGAAAAAAATGCGGTCCTCGAGGAAATGCAATAAGTAGTGCTCGGCAACCGCAGTATTATTATCACTGAGGCGTCGTAAATCAAATCTCCCTCTTGCATTCAGCAGAGAGCCGTCTTGCCCCACAGCCCCAGCAAGGCAAGCAGCAATAGCCAAGTCACGCACCCACGCACAGCGCCGTCGCTCTCCGTGTTCATCGGGAAAAGCCCTGTGGTGTTCTTGAAGGCAGCGGGGCCGTTGCTTAAGTGCGGTGCAGCGTCGCGTGTGGGCGAGCTGCCTGGCTGCCCAGGCGCCTGAGCCGTGCGTGCCGTGGCGGCGTTGCTGGGTGCCTCGTGGCCGCCGTCCGCGTCCTCTTCCGCCGCAGTTTGGGGGTCTGCGCCATTTTCCTTGGCGGCAGCGTTTGGCGTCTCGCCGGGGGGCGCGGCGGAAGCAGACGGCACGCCACCAACGGTCTCTGGCGCGTGCGACGGAGCGCCCTGCTGCGCCTGGCCGTCACCCACCGGGTCCGCCGTGGCTGCACCGTCTGCGGGAGGCGAGGGCTCTCGTTGCCGCTCGGAAGTTTCCGCACCGACAGCCCGCTCAGTTGCGCCTGTGCGAGGAGCACCGGCCGCAGCCGGCGCTGCCAACGGTGGGGGCGCCAATGCACCATCACTGCCTTCT